ATAAAATTTTTAATAACATGAATATTTTTTCAATAAAAATTCATTAAATTACTTATTATTATTGTAATTTCAACATTTGTAAAACAATTGTCACAATATAACGGTCTTGAAAAGGTACTCTACTCACTAGAGATGCCGGCGGTGCAGTAAACAAGGACAAAGATCATGCCGCTGAAGGACCAAGCGATGCCGAGGATGCCGGCGTCGCCGTACTGGTCGGTAGTCTTAGATTGGGTCAGTTTGGGTCTTGTAACCAGTCACAGTCAATACAGTAATGTAGAGGAACAAGAGTGTCGCAATGAACTCGGTGATTATGGCCCTGTAGAATAACCACTTTCTCAATTCCTCGGCGTCAATCAGCGGTACTGGCGGTGGGTCTTGGTGGTCTTGGTAGTCCTTGGATGTGAAATCTCTGCCGTGCTCGCCAACTTCAATGTCCTTCGCCATTTCTCTTTGTTTTGAGAGGGAGAGAGAGAGAGAGTTATGGGTGTTGAGAAGAGAGAGCTGTTGAGTGTGTATTTTGAGGGTGGGCTAAAGGGAGTATTTATAGGTGGAGGTCTAACATTGGACATGCTAGTTTGTTTGTTTGTTTGTTTGTTTTTTTTTTTTTTCGGGGTTGGAAGTGAAAGGGAGAAGTGGCTTCTGTCACTGAGTTTGGATCCCCTCCTTGGTCGCGGTGGAGCTATGGTTCACAGGCTTAAAAAATCAATGAAGAGGCTTCTCTCAAATACTTAGTTTATTTAACAACAATGATACATCCCACTAATTTGGGAGCATTAATAGACCACTAATGAGGTGGAAATTTTAAAAAAAAAAAGAAAAAAAAAACTTAAGGCCAAAACATCACATCAGTCAGTGGGACCCACTCTCTAGAGCTCCTTTAATGCTCCCAATTTAGAGCTCCCAAACATTTTTCTTTATTTAATACATTTAGGAGATGAATGAATTAGATAATGGAAATAAGTATACTTATAACGAATTCACAGGCTTAAAAATGGTTCAATTTTTAGGTTTGTCTTTATTGATTTTTTTTTTTGGTAAAAAATATATATATATTTGGTAATTTTTTTTTGACCTTTTAGGTTTGTCTGAAACTAAAAATTATTAAAAAAAAACTAAAATCTAAAAATAGTCTACTAAAAATTGAAAAAAAAAAATTAAAAAGTCAAGTTGACCTTTTTCATTTTTTTAGTGAAATTTTTTTTAAAATAAATAAACTATTTTTTTTTTTACACTTTTAAAAAAAATCTAATTATTAAAGTGTATAAATAAATTTATATATATATATATATATTTTTGTTACAGGAAAATCCTCTCTACCCTCCTGCAGGTCCAAGGCAGCGCCTCTTGCAGAGATCATGAGGGTATTCTGTTAGCCGTTCTAAGCGAGGAAACTATAACTTATGAACTTGCCCTGACCTCCCAAGACAAGTTTCACTATTGAACCCATGCCATATGCTGATTAGACAACTTGAGGTCAAATCTTCTAACCAACTATGCTCGACCAGGAGATTGGCCCAAAGAAGAGGAGAATTGAACATGTGACCTTAGGGTTTAAACCCTAAGCTTTAACCACAATGTCACCTGCGTTGAATTTATAAATTTATAAATTTTATTTGACTGTTACATTACTATTATTTTCCCTTATTATTTTCTCAAAAAGGAAAGTAGGTAGTACGTACGAACGCATACGAGAAACGGTAGAGTTATTTTTTTTGGGAACGCGCGCGTGTAGTGGTGGAGAAGTTTCAAGGGGTTCCCAGTTGGATCGGAATTTTGGGATTCATTCTCCCATTTTTTTTTTTCGAATTGTTTTAAAGAAAAATAAAAACTATCTTTGACAAAAATAAACATAAAAAATATATATTTAGATTTTTTTTTCGTCCAAAAAAATAAAATTATATAAAAATAAAAAATACTTTTGATTTTTTATATTTTTTTCATGAAATTAAATTTTAAAAAAATTGGAACAAATTTCTCAAAACCAAACCAAACATTGGTGTCTAAAATCTCTATTCAATAGATACTTTTAAAAAAATATTACAGATTCATGAAAAAATTTAATATTTTAATATTAATATTGATAAAGTTTATCAAATATTTGTAAAAAAAAAAGAAAGAAAATTGAACTTACAACGAGCTATTATTTTCCCTTTTTCTTCTACCTACATCAAAAATAGTTTTTGAATTTTTATTTTTCTTGTTTTGTTGCTTTTAATAAATATTTTCCATGTTTTTTATTTTAAGATATACAAATATGAAATATATTGAACTTTTGTATTTAGTATTTTTTTTTCCATAAATTTTGTATTTTTTAAGGATATATAAATTAAACAAATTAAAAATTAAAAAAATTATTAAATTATTAAAGATTAACTCAAAAATATAAATTGATAACTCATAAATTAATTTTTTAAAAATACAAAAACTTTCAGAATCTTCAAATCGAGTCCGGATCCTCTGCCGTGTTTGCCTGCGGTGGTGTCTTGCAGTGCCCCAAAACGACGTCGTTTTGGGGCAAAATTTCAAAAAAAGAAAAAAATTTCAAAAAAAAAAAAAGAAACCAGAACTAGAGGAAGACAAGGAGGGGTAGAAGAATCAAGTAGAAAGATGGGTTCGTCGGTCTCGCCACCAACGACCAGCAACCATCTCGATCCTTTTTTCAAACCATTAAAACTTTTTCTTTGCTGCAAATTAACAAACACGTTTAAGTGCCCCTTTTTCACACCTTTAAGTTGACCATTTTTCACATTGAATCCAAATCTCTCTCTGCTCAAAATGCATAAAAACAAACTTGTAATTTTTTTTACTTTACTAACCTTCAAATTCCAACTTCAAATTTGACAAATAATTCTGATCTGCTTGAAAATGGGACTCTTTTGCTGGGACCAAACACAAACTGCTCAAAAAAATTCTCGGGAAACAAACAGAAGAATCAAGTAGGGGTTGTGGGAGGAGATCGGACAGTGGAGAATCGGAGGAGGAGACACCGGAGAATCGGACGGCGGAGAGAGAGAGAAAGAGAAACAAGTAAATATGTATGTAAATATCGATGTTCAAAGTGTTAATATGTATGTATGTATATATATATATATATATATGAGATTTTTTAACCTCAAACTTTTGTTTGAATGGTTGATAATGTTGGTGTTCTTATGGGTGATGGTGAGAAATGGAGGGGTTTGGAGAAGAGAGTACACAGAAAAATGGCTGCAAAATAGATAAATCCTTTGCCGCGGCCTTCTTTCTTCTTCCCCTCCTTGTCTTCCTCTGGTTCTGGTTTTTTTTTTTTTTTTTTTGAAATTTTGCCCCAAAACGACGTCGTTTTGGGGCATTGCAGGACACCACTGCAGGCAAACACGGCAGAGGATCCGGACTCTTGGGTGTAGGGTTATGGAGAAAAGGTGGGGCTGAGTTGGATATATGTGGCAGGACATGAGTGGTTGGGGTTTTCAAAGTAGGTGGTGGATGTGAGCAAGGATTCCTCTTTGACTTTTTTACTTAACTGTTTATTTTTTGGATTATTGAGCCAATTTTTTAGTCTAATTTTGATGATCTGAACAATTTATATTTTAAAATTTATTATATGTATTATAAATATAAAAAATTAAATCGGTCGGATAATAAAAATCAAGTGAATTAAAAGTTTTATTAAACAATAAAGTTGTTTATTAAATTTTTTTAATAAACGATTTTTAATTTTTTCGATATTCGATCAATTTGATTTTTTAAAAATATGATATATATGATAAATTTTAAAATATGAACAGATTAAATTATCAAAATTAGACCAAAAAATAAACCTAATAACTCATCAAGTAAGAAGTTAAAGAGGAGACTAAAGAGGAAATCCTTGCTCGGTGGATGTGAAGTGGGACACTGTGAGTTCGGCGTGGACGGTGGTGATGGTAGCGCAACGTGTTTTTTATGTTGCTCTTCATTTGATGAATGTCAATGGTGATAAATGGATGGTTCATGGTCGGTTCTTGATGAAATGACTTGTCGTTCATCACCACTCATTTATTATGACACGTGTCACTGTTTCATCCATAATTTATAGTATACATCACACAATTAAAAAAATAAATAAAATATTCTAATTTAAATTTTAGTATAAATTAAAGTAATTTCTCTTGATGATGGTAACTTCTTGTTTTTTTTTTTAATAGGGCAGTGCGAATCTAATTATATAAATTGCTAACAGCCATCATATGATAAAATATTAACAACATCATAAAATCTATAACTTATAAAAATAAAAATAAATTAAAAAAAACAATAAACAAGACCTAATTAGTTGGTGATTATGTAGATTAATTTAGATTAAAAACATCCCCAATGATTTAATATTTAAATTGTTAGTTATTGTTATATTTAGTAATAAATTGTTATATTTTAACAATGATGTCTCGATTGTGACTTTGTTATTTTTTAATAAAATTAACTTTTCCTTTATATATTCTCTCATTAAAAAAAAAGAAAAAAAAGAAAGAAAATTACACACGACATAATTAAATATGATTCATAAGAATAATAAATAAAATTGTAATAAGGAACCAAAATATTTTTTACAATAGAAAAAGCATGACAATTATGAAAGGTGTTATTTACAACAAAACTAGGTACATAAAATTCATTCGAGTAATGCTAAAGATCCCAAATATTCTATCAAAAGTTTTACCAAATGCCTCACATGGGTGTGGGACCCACACAATATGGGTCCCATGTGTATCTCACACCCATGTGAGACATTTGGTAAAACTTTTGATAAAATTTTTAAGACCTCTAGCCTTTTTGAATTCATTCACAAAAATACATGAATAAAATCTCTCAACTACACAGTTATTTTCTTAATATTTTTATGTGAACAAATCTTTTTTGGGTCATTAATCATTGAAAGTGAAAGAATTCTAAAATTTTCCAAATCAAAATGGGGCGGCAGAACACAATTTGGCTTCACCAATGTTAGGCCTCCCCATAAATACCCACTTAAGTTCACTTCTCAAAGCACACACGGAAGCGACTCTCTCTTCTCAACAACACCAAAAACACATCACTCTCACACAGCTTCTCTCTCTGTCTCTCTCTCTCTCATTCTCATACACACACACAAAACAAAGAGAAATGGCAAAGGACATTGAAGTCGGCCAGCATGGTGGCGAGTTCACATCCAAGGACTATCAAGACCCACCACCAGTGCCGCTGATCGACTCCGAGGAATTGACAAAGTGGTCATTCTACAGGGCCATAATCGCCGAGTTCATTGCAACACTCTTGTTCCTCTACATTACTGTCTTGACTGTGATTGGTTACAAGACCCAAACTGACCCTACCAAGACTACCGACCAGTGCGGCGGGGTTGGCATCCTCGGCATCGCTTGGTCCTTCGGTGGCATGATCTTCGTCCTAGTTTACTGCACTGCCGGCATCTCTGGTGAGTACACTACCCTTTCAAGACTGTCATACTGAAACAATTGTTCTACAAAATGTTAAAATCGAAATAATTATTAGTAATTTATTGAAGTTTTAGGGGCGAAAACGGTAGCTCAATCATTAGCCTACTTGGTTTAATAAGGGTGACTCAATCATTAGGTAACTTAGTCTGTCGACTTAGTCTGTCGGCTAAGCCTTATTAAGAAAATCTTAAAAAAATTTCTATTGTTGAAAGTCCAAATTTCTTGAAAGCCTAATAAATTAAGGCCTCATTTTAATTTTTGGACTAAGGTTTCCAAAACCTTTGACCCGCTACCAAGGACGCGAAATTATGTTTGTTAAATGTTAACCGACCAAAATGAGACAAGACTAATATTTTTAAACCAAAAGTGTAATTGGCCTTAATGGTTTTTATGTGTTTTTTTTATGAGATTTTGTTATGCTTAGTTTGGCAATGTTGATGATAGTTTTGGTGAATGTAACCAAAAAACAAAAGATGATTGTTTTGGTGGAAATGTGCAGGAGGGCATATTAACCCGGCTGTGACTTTTGGGTTGTTCTTGGCTAGGAAGGTGTCTCTGGCCCGAGCCATCATGTACATGGTGGCTCAGTGTTTGGGGGCCATCTGTGGATGTGGGTTGGTGAAGTCATTCCAAAAGGCCTACTATGTCAATTATGGTGGTGGAGCCAACAAGCTCTCTGTTGGGTATAGCACCGGCACTGGGCTCGCAGCTGAGATTATCGGTACCTTTGTTCTTGTTTACACCGTCTTCTCTGCCACAGATCCCAAGAGAAACGCCCGAGATTCTCATGTACCTGTACGTATCACTATGTAATTTTTCTGTTTCGAGTTGAAACTACGAAAATTTTCACTTTCAAAATAAAAAAATAAGAAATTATGTAAAACATCGAAATTGTGAAATTTTTTAAAAGAAACAAAGATCCATGTGCGTGCTAGATTGGTCTTAGACTACTAAATATCAAGCTAACCAAAAAGCCCCTTTATGTTAGACTTTGTCATTGGATTTTAGTACAATGAACATAAAAAAGATGGGCTTTGATAGAGATCCCCTCCAATCACCACCTCCACCACCGCGCACACACGTGGCGGGTGGTGATTAGAAGAGAAGGAAAAAACAAAACAAAAAAAAGAAAATCTGATCAATCAAATCAAGAGGGGGTCAAGGGGTGGGGGAAAAAGGAGGTCTAGGTCTTTTTCCAAAAAAGATATACTGCATGTAATTTAAAGGATTGAAATATAGGTCCAAAAATAACTATGTACTCTCCGAAATATTAGCAATCTATTCTGTGGCTGTTCTTTGCTAGAATTGTGGATGTTCTTCTTTACATGAAAACATAATTAATCTATTCATGTGTAATAAAGTTGTTCAAAAAATGTTTTCGTCTGTTTAAACAAAATTCCCTGTAGTTTTCTTTAGATAAAGGTCTTCTTTAGATAATTACACAAATGACAGTACAGATTCCATCTCTCTCTGGTTTTCTCAACAAGATACTTGAGGGCATTATAGACATTTCAACATATATCTTTGATGACATCAGCAGTTTCTGTTAGTTTTGTGAACGGAAGTCAAAAAATGGGGGAATCTGTACAATGTCAGGTAAAGTAGGGGAGGTTACCGTAATTATTCAAACCACAGGGGAGGTCCCTGTATTTGTCAGAAACCTCAGGGGAGGTAAATGTAATTACCCCAATAATTATTAGTAATTTATTGAAGTTTTAGGGACGAAAACGGTAGCTCAATCATTAGCCTACTTGGTTTAATAACGGTGACTCAATCATTAGGTCACTTAGTCTGTCGTCTAAGCCTTATTGAGAAAATCCTAAAAAAATTTCTATTATTGAAAGTCCAAAATTTCTTGAAAGCCTAATAAATTAAGGCCTCATTTTAATTTTTGGACTAAGGTTTCCAAAACCTTTGACCCGCTACCAAGGACGAGAAATTATGTTTGTTAAATGTTAACCGACCAAAATGAGACAAGACTAATATTTTTAAACCGAAAGTGTAATTGGCCTTAATGGTTTTTATGTGTTTTTTTTAATGAGATTTTGTTATGCTTAGTTTGGCGATGTTGATGATTGTTTTGGTGAATGTAACCAAAAAACAAAAGATGATTGTTTTGGTGGAAATGTGCAGGAGGGCATATTAACCCGGCTGTGACTTTTGGGTTGTTCTTGGCTAGGAAGGTGTCTCTGGCCCGAGCCATCATGTACATGGTGGCTCAGTGTTTGGGGGCCATCTGTGGATGTGGGTTGGTGAAGTCATTCCAAAAGGCCTACTATGTCAATTATGGTGGTGGAGCCAACAAGCTCTCTGTTGGGTATAGCACCGGCACTGGGCTCGCAGCTGAGATTATCGGTACCTTTGTTCTTGTTTACACCGTCTTCTCTGCCACAGATCCCAAGAGAAACGCCCGAGATTCTCATGTACCTGTACGTATCACTATGTAATTTTTCTGTTTCGAGTTGAAACTACGAAAATTTTCACTTTCAAAATAAAAAAATAAGAAATTATGTAAAACATCGAAATTGTGAAATTTTTTAAAAGAAACAAAGATCCATGTGCGTGCTAGATTGGTCTTAGACTACTAAATATCAAGCTAACCAAAAAGCCCCTTTATGTTAGACTTTGTCATTGGATTTTAGTACAATGAACATAAAAAAGATGGGCTTTGATAGAGATCCCCTCCAATCACCACCTCCACCACCGCGCACACACGTGGCGGGTGGTGATTAGAAGAGAAGGAAAAAACAAAACAAAAAAAAGAAAATCTGATCAATCAAATCAAGAGGGGGTCAAGGGGTGGGGGAAAAAGGAGGTCTAGGTCTTTTTCCAAAAAAGATATACTGCATGTAATTTAAAGGATTGAAATATAGGTCCAAAAATAACTATGTACTCTCCGAAATATTAGCAATGTCACAAGATTATTATAGTGATTGAAGAACAAAAAAATTGTCAATTGAAGTTCATCATAGTGACATGTTTCTCTTTTGCAATATAGGTTTTGGCACCCCTCCCTATTGGATTCGCGGTGTTCATGGTTCACTTGGCCACGATCCCAATCACCGGCACTGGCATTAACCCAGCACGAAGCTTTGGGGCTGCTGTGATCTATGGCAAACAAAAAGCCTGGGATGATCAGGTATGTATATAACTCAGCTTTCATGTTTGTTCTAGTGATCAATCCCGATATCCCTCATGTTAAATGTATTGTTGACAGTGGATCTTCTGGGTCGGACCGTTCATTGGTGCAGCCATAGCCGCGTTCTACCACCAGTACATCTTGAGAGCGGCGGCGGTTAAAGCTCTGGGATCTTTCAGGAGCACTACTTAATGTGCATTTTGTTATGGGAATTCTATGAGGACTTTCAATGTAATCTTTGCAAGAGGGGAATTGGAATTATGGGAAAGTTGTAAATAAGTGTTGGTGAGGAAGGTGTGTTGATTGTGTTGGCATTGTGGTCTTGGGTTGGCACTTGTTTTTGTTGTGCCCAAATGTTGTTGTTTACTATGTTCTGCTTTTATTTTGTTGATGGTATTCTAAGCATTAATAAAATAATCATCTGGTTCTTTGTTTCATTTTGTATCTATACTATAATTCTAATTATTTAAAAAATATTTTAGACACAAAATCAACACTGAACACATAGGTGTCGTTTAACAAATTGAGTGTGTGAGAGCTAATTGAATTTAAATAAATCAATATAAATTAAAACATTATTTAAATAAAACTTTTGACTTAAATTATAAATTAAAAACATTATTTAAGTAAATAGTTGTTCAAGAATGAGTGATTTTTTATATTTTTTTTAAAGTAAAAATGAGTGATGGTTGATAGATAAAAAACAACACATAACATGTGACACTCGCACGCACTCGTATTATTTTAAAATAATAAATTTGAATAAATAATATTGTTGTATCCCTATCTTTAAAAAAATAACACTATTATAGTTCTAAAATAACACAATGAAAAATAAAAATAAAAAATTGGCATACTAAAAATCTCAATCACTGAAATTACTCATCTCTCTCATTCGTTGGCATCTATAATTGCGAATAAATACAAGGAATTGGTAAATTCGATAATGGTAACAACATTAGAGTATCTCTAATTTTTAATTTTTTTTCTACTAAATTTAAATTTGATGAAAAAGTGATAAAAATTATTTTTAATCTATTTATAAATGTTCATCAAATCAAGAAAGAAATATTTTCATCAAATTGAGAATTCATTAAATCTTTATCAAATTAGAATTTAATGAAAACTTAGAAAGATAAAGTATTGGAAATATATATATATAGATATATTTTTATCAAATTTAACGGAAAGAAAAATTTAGATAAGAAAAGACCTTTTAAAAAAAATGATAAAAAATTAATAAAATTTTAGCACTGGTTTGGGAAGTTAGGTTAGGGTGGATTGAGACTAAAATAGTCACAAAAATATAAATTATTTTCAGTCTCAAGGTAAAAAAATATCAAATTTAAATTTAAATTATTTTATTTTTTCTTTCATAAAAATAAAAATAAAAATTAAAAAATCTATTCTAAATGAGATTCTTAAGTACAAGATTCTTAAGTCTGAGATTAAAATAATTAAAAAGTTAAAAAATATACTTACATCCCAAGCAAAGGTTTGGAATAGTTGATCAAAACCAAGCAAAACGACAGATTATTGGCAACAATAAACGACGACGTTTGGACGTCATTATCAACAGATTCGAGTTCTAGTTGAAAAGGGGTTGACAACAAACAAAGCAAAGGAGGATAAAAGCAGTCTCTCCCGTCCTCCTCGTCTCTCTCTCTCTCTCTCCGTTATATCCTCTTTCCTTTGAATCTTCACCGACCCTGCAGTCTTCCCAGGTACTTCTTTCAAACCCAACTTTCACTCTCATTCTCTCTCATTCTCTTTTCAATCTCGTCTTCACTGTGTGTTGTTGTGTTTATATCTTTGTATCCATCTTACCATTATTGCTTAATCAATCAAATCCTTTTAGTTTGTTTCTTGGATCTCCTGAAAATAAAATAAAAAACCCTTTTTTGACTGTACAAAAATAGGTGGTGATTAATAATGGAAGATAAGGTAAATTAGTGGACCAATTTGAAAGGGTTTGATTTGATTTAATGTGTTTATTATTATTTTTTATATGGGTTTTGAATTTGGTTTTTGTTGCTTTCAATTCCTTTTTGTTCGCCGAGTTCAATTCTGAGCCTTTTTTTCAAATTTTGTTTTAAATTTTAGGTTTCAATTGATTTGGAGAACGGGTAGGAATCGATAGGGAATTAACAATGCTTAGAAAGATTTCTTTGTGGGGTTTGTGCACAGATGATTGGATCTTGAGAACTGAGGGCTTGTTTGATTAGCACGATTAATGGTGAGGAGATTAACAATCCATGAGATTAGAGTAGTGTAGGATTGGTTATTCATCTGGATTAGTGAGATACATAATTTCCTCTTGTCCACATTTTTTTTTTTGCAATAGATATGGAAATATATAATCTTAACTATATGTATGTTTTGCGTTATTAGTTGTAGGATTGAAAAATTTGTCAATTTTGTTGGATGGAATTGCCATTAGAATCTAATCTGAATAATAAAATTTGCAATCAAATAATTGAATGCGAGTCCCATGGATTTATAATCCTCATCCTATAGTATAATTCACCCAATCAAACAAGCCTTGAGATTATTGTGGATTTAAAATCAAATCCTCATACTTTTTTATGCCATATTCTGAAGGAGTGAATGGAGGAAATATAGATTCTCCTCCTCCTTTTTTGCATAATAAGGCTTTCTCTGTTATAATGCCAGGGAGACTAATTTGGAAGAATTTCTAGGAGTCTCCTCCTTAGATTTTTTATGAAGCATGGATATAGATACGGATACAACGATAAGACAAATTTTTTTTAAAAAATAAGATATGGGTATAGACAACATTCGTCAAGAAATTATAATTTTTAATGTTATATTATACATGAACTCAAAGAATAGTGAAAATCATTCTTTAGGAATTAGATATTAGTGAATATTAATTGTCAGTTTACTTATTTTTTTAGGGAATATGTTAATTTGATAAAAATTTGAAAAACTAGAGTACTAACTATGCACGAATTATTACAATTTCAATTTCATAATAGTTTGGATATGTGACCTAGAGTGCTTATTCGTAGTTTTGTGATTAACTTGAATTACTAAGAAAATGTTCAACTAAACATGTTGGACTACTGACTGTTTGATCCATACACATTTCTTTGTTGCATTTGGTTCTATCCTGATATTAACTATTATTTTGAAATTCCATGTAGAACTGCAGTGAAGTATGAATACTAATAGGAGTAAAGGTGGAATTCAAAGACTGCTAGCTGCTGAACAAGAAGCTCAGCAAATTGTCAATGCTGCCAGAAGTGGTAAACTGCGATTTCCCTCACTTGATTCCTATTCGATTTTTATTTGAGTCAGTTTATAATTATATATAAATTTAGACAAGAATATACATCTATGGGATGGTTCTTGTATATACACTTAATAGGACTCTTCAATACAAGGATTAACAGACTTCTTAAAAATCTTTTCCTTTTGTCTTATGGAAGTATGTTCTTAAAACAAAAAATACAGGGTGCTGATAGATTTAGCACATTTATCGTTTTCAAGCTTTGGGATCATACCTTACGGGGTGAAGTTGTTCAATGACTTCTATCTAATTTTCTCATCTTCAGTGTATGTGATTCTCTTGAAATCAGTGGTTTCATGCACATAGTGCAAGTGTCAACAATTCCCAGTTTTAGATACTATCGTACTAGTAACAATACAATGACCCCCGGCAATTGCCCAAGTGGTCATGGAGAGGGCACTTAGGTGCCAAGGAGTGTTAGATTTCAGGTTCGAATCTATGGAGAGACATTGGCCTGCGTTGTAATCTGACTACTAAAACATACTACCTGCTAAGCATACAAGAATATTATAAATAGTAAAAGTTCAGTTTATTTACTTATTTATTTTTTAAATAGTTATACCCTAATACTGCATGATGATTGATGAATGATTTCTGAAACTTATTTGCTAATGACTTTGGTCTTCTTTCTTAAGAAAAAATGGCTAGACTAAAACAAGCCAAAGAAGAGGTTGAAAAGGAGGTAGCTGAATACCGATCCCAAATGGAACTCGAGTTTCAAAGAAAAGTCACAGAGGTAAACATACATTCGTAAATCACTTTGTGTAGATCTATATTTACTAAGCATTCTGAGTCTCACCTTCCATCAATTGTTCCCACCAATTTTATGTTTGCCTTGCAAAATTTTGAGAATTGCTAACATCAAACAACAATTGGTGAACTTAATCATAGTCTTGTGTGTTCATGACTCGGTTAGCAATTGTTATCTGATGTTTGCTTTGAAAATTTTAGTAAAAATTTCATACATCAAACAATGAATTCATGGACTCCACAAACTGTTATGGGTGTGCTAATTCAGCCTTTTGAATTGTCCAAATGGTCATAAAAACAGAGCAGCGGAGATTCAGGTGCCAACGTCAAGCGCCTCAAACAAGAGACGGATGAGAAGATCCATCACTTGAAAACCGAGGCTGGGAAAATATCTCGGGATGTGTCTCACATGCTTTTGAACCATGTTACAACTGTTAAAGTCTAAGCTTCTTGATGGTTTGTTACATTAGTGTCATTCTTTATTTAGGATATGATCGAATATGATCGGATGATTATTTTGCATCGAATGCTATTGGTATATTAGTTTCTATCGACATTCTTGAAGCATTTATTTTGTGGATTTTGCACTGGGCTTTGCCAAAGGAATTAATTTTTTTTTTTTTTGGTCACAAATAAATGTTGTGGATATTGGAGCAATCTCTTGTTATTCTAATTGTTTTGCTTATTGTAAACAAAAGCCTTGCTTAGTTATAGCAAAAATAAAGTAAATTGATCTAATTAGATGGTTATCTAAATCATAAACAAAAAGTTATACAATTTACCTATTCTTAAACACTAAAAGCTATGTTTCTTGATTAAAGTGACAAAATTGAAAATTCTGGAGACCAAAATGTTGCAAAACACGACTATAGGTATATTTGTTGTCAACGATTTAGGTGATCATTTGAAATTGGATTAATTTAACTTAAATTGAAACTTTCAAAAATAAAATTAACAAAATTAAATTTTTGAAGCCTAAAGTAACAAGGAACATATTTTTTAGAACTAGAGGTGCATTTTATCCACCATATAAATATAATTGAATGGATAGAGTGATAGATTAAACATATGTTGCCACCTACCGTCAAAGCGTTGGATCCCGGAATAAACTGTACATCTAGACATTCGAGATTCAATTCTCACTAGTGTCTCAGAATTTATTCTTTAGAGGTTCATCGTCATAAAAAAATAATAATAATATTAAATAAATAAAAATAAATTTAACAATGGTGGATGATTACGTTGGAGGTTCTTCAAGAAATGTTTGAAATTTAAGTCTTGTTTGGCATAACTTATTTTAGTTCATCTTTTTATCTATTTATCTTTTTTAGATCACATCAATCAACATCTTCTCTCTATTTTTCCACACATCTTTTTATAAAAAGTCAAAAAATACACTCATTTAGGACATCCCAAACCACCCCTAAAACTACGTAGTGCGATAAAATCCAATATTCTTTGGCAATGATACTACAATGAGAAAAAATAGTTTTTCTAACCAAAACAATATGCAATCATTTATTAATTGAAAGAGTCAGGCTTCTTTTCAGTACAAGAGGGCCCATGGCCCTATGGGGGCATACCACAAGTTCTGTTTCGATAATCTGAATAATTCAATGTGTAGAACTTGTTGATTATTTCATCTCTGTAAAAAATTACATTAATTGGGTATCGATAGCCACGTGATCAAATCATATTTTATTTTATTTTTCTTGAATAAAAAAAAATCATATTTGATTCAACTGCAAATATAATTTTTAAAATAAATTATTGACAAAAATATAATCCGATTAAGTAGCTATCGATATCCGATCAATGTGATTTTTTTCATGAATGAAATACTCGATGAGCTTTACATATTGAATGATTTAGATTATCGAAACAGAACTCGTAATAAATGTCATATATCTGAACTACATGGTCCAGTCCACAATGGACTGAGGAGAATCTAAGTTCTAATTTTTGTAAGTGTACCATATTTTATGATAAAAGTCAGTACTCTTTTGGTTTATATTATCACGAGAAAAGTGTTTTTTTCTAATCAAAATAGTATACCATCATTCAATTTTTTTTTAATTTTTTTTTAAATGATAGCAAAAAAGCCAATATGCCTCATTAAAAACTCAAATAAGAGAGCTACATGTATCAATTTTTTTTTTTAAGAATGCTCAAATCACTTACCATTTATAAATAATAATGAAAAATAGACTAATTTAATATTCATAAATATTTTTTTAAAAAATAAAATGATAAAATCATGTTATTATGACTGTCGAATCTTATTTATTTATTTATATATTTATATATAAATGATCTATGTACATTATTTACAAAATAACTAATCCAAATTACCCGAGTAAAACCTGTCGTAGACTCAACGGATCATTCCGCATGTTTTAGTTTACTTTAGTAAATCAGAGACAATCCTTTAAGGAAAATGATTATTGCATATGGAAAATTGAATCACACTAAATAAACTAATGAGAACAGTAATAACAATGTTAATGTGCTTTCTTATGACCTACAACAACCAACACGTGCGCCTTTGTTGGTTGGTGTAGTGAACCTGAAAGACTTCGATACTTTATTTACACTTATTTTGAGAGAAAAAAAAAAATTGGTATATTAGTTTCTATCGACATTCTTGAAGCATTTATTTTGTGGATTTTGCACTGGGCTTTGCCAAAGGAATTAAATTTTTTTTTTTTTTTTGGTCACAAATAAATGTTGTGGATATTGGAGCAATCTCTTGTTATTCTAATTGTTTTGCTTATTGTAAACAAAAGCCTCTCTTAGTTATAGCAAAAATAAAGTAAATTGATCTAATTAGATGGTTATCTAAATCATAAACAAAAAGTTATACAATTTACCTATTCTTAAAACACTAAAAGCTATGTTTCGGCTACTTTGTCGGTATTTCTTGATTAAAATGACAAAATTGAAAATTCTGGAGACCAAAATGTTGCAAAACAAGACTATAGGTATATTTGTTGTTAACAATTCAGGTGATCATTTGGAATTGGATTAATTTAACTTAAATTGAAACTTTCAAAAATAAAATTAACAAAATTAAATTTTTGAAGACTAAAGTAACAAGGAACATATTTTTTTAGAACTAGAGGTGCATTTTATCCACCATATAAATATAATTGAATGGATAGAGTGATAGATTAAAACATATGTTGCCACCTACCGTCAAAGCGTTGGATCCCGGAATAAACTGTACATCTAGACATTCGAGATATTCAATTCTCACTAGTGTCTCAGAATTTATTCTTTAGAGGTTCATCGTCATAAAAAAAAAAAAATAATAATAAATAAATAAAAATAAATTTAACAGTGGTGGATGATTACGTTGGAGGTTCTTCAAGAAATGTTTGAAATTTAAGTCTTGTTTGGCATAACCTATTTTAGTTCATCTTTTTATCTTTTTTGGATCACATCAATCAACATCTCCTCTCTATTTTTCTACACATTTTTTTTATAAAAAGTCAAAAAATACACTTATTTAGGACATCCAAACCACCCCTAAAACTATCATATAGTGTGATAAAATCCAATATTCTTTGGCAATGATACTACAGTGAGAAAAAATAGTTTTTCTAACCAAAACAATATGCAATCATTTATTAATTTAAAGAGTCAGGCTTCTTTTCAGTCCAAGAGGGGCCCATGGCCCTATGGGGGCACACCACAAGTTCTGTTTTGATAATCCGAATAATTTAATGTGTAGAACTCGTTGATTATTTTATCTCTGCAAAAAATTATATTAATTGGATATTGATAGCCACTTGATCAAATCATATTTTATTTTATTTTTCTTGAATAAAAAAAAATCATATTTGATTCAACTGCAAATATAATTTTCAAAATAAATTGTTGACAGAAATATAATCCTATTAAGTAGCTATTGATATCCGATCAATGTGATTTTTTTTATGAATAAAATACTCGATAAGCTTTACATATTGAATGATTTAAATTATCGAAAGAGAACTTAGGATGGATCTCGTATATCTGAACTACATGATCCAGTCCACAATGGACTGAGGAGAATCTAAGTTCTAATTTTTTTAAGTGTACCATATTTTATGATAAAAGTCAGTACTCTTTTGGTAAAGTCAGTACTCTTTTGGTTTATATTATCACGAGAAAAGTGTTTTTTTTTTTTAATCAAAATAGTATACCATCATTCAATTTTTTTTTAATTTTTTTTTTTTAAAATGATAGCAAAAAAGCCAATATGCCTCATTAAAAACTCAAATAAGAGAGCTACATGTATCAATTTTTTTTAGGAATGCTCAAATCATTTACCATTTATAAATAATAATGAAAAATAGACTGATTTAATATTCATAAATATTTTTTTTTTTAAAAATAAAATGATAAAATCATGTTATTATGACTATCGAATCTTATTTATTTATTTATATATAAATGATCTATGCACATTATTTACAAAATAACTAATCCAAATTACCCGAGTAAAACCTGGCGTAGACTCAACGGATCATTCTGCATGTTTTAGTTTACTTTAATAAATCAGAGACAACCCTTTAAGGAAAATGATTATTGCATATGAAAAATTGAATCACACTAAATAAACTAATGAGAATAGTAATAACGATGTGTTAGCACCATAAATCTGTAATTTTTATTATTATTTATTATTTATATAATTGCAGGACACGTGGCATCCTCTTATTCATTTGGAAGTTAAAAGAAGTTATAGAGATAATGGAGAATATGAAGGACAAAGTGGATGAGTGGAAGGACACATGGCAAGACAAGAATGAAGATGGAAGAAATGGGTAGTTACTAAGTAGTTATTGCAGTATTTTTTCCTCTATAAATAGCCATTAATGGCTACATTGTAAGGGATCCAGAATTCATAATCAAAGACAATTGATTTCAATATTTCTTGTCATTTCCTTATCTTAGGAGTAGTTTAACATAGATTTATATTTCGAAACATTTATTTTCAGTATTTCCTTTTCGAAGCATTTTATGCACTTCCTTTTCGAAGCATAGGAGTAGAGGTAAGTAATTATTACTTTGATTGTTCACTCAATCGTCTTTCTCCGTCTCCCTTTTTCTTCTTTTACTTTTTCTTTTCTCTACACTTGGCAAATTTGAAGTCCTCTTCGTTGAGGCAAACGAACCGTCAACCCAATCGCTTGATAATTGATTTGAATTTAATCTGTAAGGATTTTTCAATCCTCGCTGGCACGCTCGCATTTATGATATTTTCCTTCGTAGGAAAAATAAGCCAACACGATGTTAATGTGCTTTCTTATGACCTACAACAATCAACACATGCGCCTTTGTTGGCTGGTGTAGTGAACTTAAAAGACTCCGATACTTTATTTACACTTATTTTGAGAGGAAAAAAAAAACATAAATTTTAATTTTTTTTTTTGAATGTACAATAAATAAATAAAATAAAGAGTTAATATCACTTAAATAAAACAATAAACTCATTTTTATTTCTAATTGCCAAAATAAGCCTCAATATCCCATGTTGAACTATTAATACAATGTAAGTGTTATTTTTTCTGATTGCGTACCTACTTGGAGTTTGGTAATTCTTCTATACCTTCAG